ATCACGGAAATGCATAATTATGCTACCCGACAGCGGGAACATTTCAATTTTTGTATTAATTATAGAACTACACTGTAATCAATGTCCTTGACAAATAAAGGGGGTAGTCTATGGAATAGTCAACCTAACAGTATTAAAGATTGTAGAAATGCTATTTTATTTTTAAAAAATATACAAAAAGAATCTATTAGGTTAATATAATTTAGATTTATAGCGGAAATCTGTGTTTTGCTATAATTTATAATGTTATGTGTATTCTTATATACCGTATTGCCCACAAAATGTTATTTTCACTTTAACAACAATAAATTTACGTATGTTGGTGTGGGTATATATATATGTATGTATGCATGGGTGTATATGTGTATGTATACGTGTGTATGGGTATGTAAATGTTTATATATATATATATATATGTATGAGTATATAGGTATATCTATATAGGTATATATATATATATATATATATATATATATGTATGTATAACGATTTAACAGTTTATTTTATTTATTAAAACTTAGCTGTTATTAGTAAGAAGACATTAGAATATAGTTATAGGAAGTCAGATTAACTTATTATTTACAAACGTTCTCTTATATTATTTTAGATTGTGAACACTGTATTTACTTTATTGCTTAATCGTCTATAAATATAAAGAAACTAAAAGTAATTAAGATGTTGTTATTAATGAATACAAAATAAAATTTACAGAAAAGAAATAGAATTTTTCCATTAAATTTAAACTTCTTTAATTTAAGTGAAATAGGTCTTTGAATTATTTTTGAACCTCATATGTAAAAGAAATATTTAATTATGTAATTTGGGATTTCCATTTACAACCTATGCTTCAGGAATTTCCCATTTTCTTGGATCTTCAAAATTGATGTACATTTATATTTTTCGTAAATTTTCATGCTCAAAGGAAATAAATATTTTTGTCATTGTCATTGTCATATCGGATCGAGGTATAGGGAGGTACGTGTTCTTGTTATTTAATTCAAATTTTACTTAATATTTATATGTTTTTGTGTTACTTTTTCTGATTTAAGAGCATTAATAATGTAAATTATGATCGTTATTATTATTATTATTATTAGTAGTAGTAGTAGTAATAGTACATTAATACTATTTCAATTTGTCATCATAAATCCAAAACTAGAAAAGCGAATGCTTTTTTGGTCTTTTTGTCTTTTACTGCATTATTAATGTATACATTTATATTTTTGTACTATTTTATTTATTAAATAAAGTGATGGAAGAATTTCAATTCAAAATAGGCCTAAGCCAAGCAAAATTATGGAAGAAAAATTATAGTCCTATTGTAGCATTTCGTGCTAAGTGATTCGGTGAAGCCCTGACCCACGCATCGTTCTTACCTTGTATGCAAGGTGTTCTGTACCCCCACTATACACAAGCTGGCATAGTTACATTTGGGTGGCATGGTGAATTACTAGAATCTTAAATTTCTGATATGGAATTTCCTGTTCTATAAATAAATATTGAATCGAACGACCGTTGTACCTGCAGTAATTTCATTTGATTTTGTATAGGCCTATTATGTGCCGTGGTTATTAATCATTGCTGAAAGCAGATCATGTGTATAACACGCACATAACCTTTGCCTTGTGTTGAAATTTATAACGAAGAAAAAACACACCCAGGCATAGACCTTTGAAAACAATTAATAAATAAATAGGCCTAAACACAAATTTATCACCGTAAACTGTGTAATGTTCGAGGACTGAGAGTTTAGATTTCCCATCTGTCCAATTACTATATTTCACAAAGGGATGGGGTAGGGAAAAATAACGTCTGGATCAGACACGGCAACGATTGATGACGAAATAATCATTTGCATATTTATAAACAAACGCTACCGTACTGTAGTAGGGCGGTTTCGATTCCAGTTTGACGAATGTTAACCTGTCGAAGACATCTATTTGTAAGTATCAGTTTAGTTTTATTTCAAAAAAGTTAACCCATCTGGTTATTAAACAGATAAGATAAATACTATTTAAGTTGAAATTATGTTGTAAAAATCAAACACACATTGAGAGCCTTTTAGGAACAGGAAATGGTAGAGCATCGATCAAAATAAGCGAAAACTGGATATAAATCCATAATTACGCTATAAATAATTGTCATTTAAATTTGGATATGTTTGTAGGAATGTATTAATATTATCGTTATTATTAATTTTCATCATCATCACAAGCATCATCATCGCCATCATCATTATCATCATCATCACCGCCTTCATTATTTGATTTCAGAATAGATTTTTTCGTCAGCCATCAACCCATTATATGGGCGTGAATGTGTAGAAGAAAAGGATGTATGCCAATAGTTTCAGATTAAAAAGTAATATAAGGTTTGGTATCCAGGAATGAATAGTTTAGGGTGTGAGGGTTGATACGCATCACGATGACTTGTGTATCAACGTACGTGCTTTTTTTGAGATCAAATCTAAAAATAATTTGGCCTTTCAAATAAATTAATTTAGAGCCAGGGTGATATACGATAAAGTCGCACCTTTACGTTTAAATTATATATATATATATACTGTATATATATACACACTGTATATATATATATATATATATATATATATATATATATATACGCTTGGACATATTTTGAGACATAGAAAATTCTCCTGCTTTTACTGCAATGGTCTGGGCACTCGGATGAGCAAACGAATTTGAAGCCCTGGTTGGTAGGCCGCGAACCAATTTTCTCTCTGTTCTCAAAAACGATTTATTTGACCGAGGTCTTTTGTTAAAACATTATGATGATTTAGTTTATCTTGAGGAATTAGCTTCAATCCAGAAACTATTGATTAATTTATACTAGAAAGTTTTTCTTTAATGTAGTAAATATATTTTACATACACATGCAGGACATAAACAGAGAAATTTAATCTTTATAAAAAACGCGATGTTAACTAGGGCCTATATTTTGTTTACTGATCATTATAGCATAAATTGCAAGTACATTATTGTCATACACAAATATAAATCCAATAATATAAAGTAATGTATTTTAGATTTGGATTTAACTATTAATATTTGTCTGTAAGATTATACGGTATTTGACGATATTATTATTTTTATCATAATCATCAAATTAATTTCGCGATAGGTTTTCCTCTGCCAGCATAGGTTTTATGTTTCGTCAGCCATCTGACATGTAAATAGGGGTTACGTGTAAACCTAAACAAAACGGATGCTATGTAGAAAGCATTACACCTTAGGGGTATGTTATAGGCCTGTGTCTCACTCCTGGACGCATAGTAATTTTTTTTTCCCTCTCTCTCCACACTGTAGTTATTTTAGTCGCGAAGCGTGATATTGTAGGGCTACAGTTAGTACCAAATGAGCCAGTAATTCTATTCAATGTATACAGTTATAAATAAAGGAATAGAGATTGATATATTTTAATAATGGTTACTATAGGCCTATGAATTCCGTTAATAAGGTATTATCCTATATTCTTCTTTATAATACATACTCAGTATATTTTAATGTAGGCCTTAACCTCAAAAGCATATACATTGCTTTAATCGCATTTAAATTTCTATTGAATGTGGCGTTGTTTAAGAAAATGTAACATTGATCTATTTATTTATGAAATAAAGTGATGGAAGAATTTCTAATAAGAATTTGAAATAAGCCAAATAAGCAAAAACTATGGGGGAAGGAGAATATTATAGTCCTAGGCTACTGTGAAGTCCTGATCCTCACGCATCGTTCTTACCGTGTATGCATGGTGTTCTGTGCCCCACTATACACAACGGGGCATAGTTACATTTGGGTGGCATGATGAATAGGCTGATTACTAGAATCTTTAATGTGGTATGGAATATATTGAATCATTGTTATAATGGCCGTTGTGCCTGCAGCAATTTCATTTGATTTTGTATAGGCCTATTATGTGCCGTGGTTATTATTTATTTTCAATAGCAGATCTTGGGTATAACACGCACAACCTATACCTTGCGTTTAAAATATATAACGGAAAAAATCTTTTGAAAAAAATAAACACAATTTATCACTGTAAACAGTGTCTTTATCTGTATATATACGTATACTGGCTGGACCCATTCGAGGCCTAAGAGTTTAGATTTTCCACACGTCTACGTACTATATTTCACAAGAGAAAAGGGTGGGGCCGGTGGAAAACAATACTAACGGCTGGGTTAGACACGACAACGATTGATGACGAATAATCATTTGCATATCTATAAACCAACGGTACGGCCAGCTAGGACTGTATCGATTTCGATTAAGCCTAAGGAATATTGAGCTGCTGAAAAGATCGTCTGTTCATATCTTTTAGTAGGACGGTTTCGATTCAAGTTTGACAAACATTAACCTGTCGAAAACGTTTATATGTTTGTTTATTTGTACGTAAATTTGTTCAGTTTAGTTTTATATCAAAAAGTTAACCCATATGGTTATTGAACAGATAAGACAAATACCATTTTAATTTAATTATCTTGTTAAAACGCACTAATTATACATTCACTGAGAGCCTTTTTGAAGCAGGAAATTTTAGAGCATCGATCAGCATAGGAAAAACTGCATAAACCCAAAAATTACAACATAAATAATAATTGTTATTTAAATTTGGATATGTTTGTAGGAATATAATAATATTATCGTTATTATTATTTCCATCATCCTCATAAGCATAATCACCTCCATCATCGTTATCATCATCATCACCGCTTTAATCATTTGATTTCAGAATAGTGTTAAATGGGCGTGAATGTGTAGAAGAAAAGGATGTATGCCGATATTTTCAGACCTTAAGGAGTTAAATATGGGTTGGTACCCAGGAATGAATAGTTTAGGATGTGAGGGTTGATACGCATCACGATGAATAGTGTAACAACGTTCTTAGGATGTAGTTATTTCAGAGCATATGTGACCTGTTTTTTTATTAAGGCATTAGAGAAAATGCACCAATTTGATAAATACTAATATTTACATAGCCTATTTATAATCTAGTAGGCCTATTATATATACTGTATATGTAAAACTCCTATAATTTGTATTGTTTTTTTTTTTATTGAAAGTGACCTTAATATTTTTGCTTTAAATTAAACTAACCAATTATTTTGTCATATAAGACAATTTAATTTTTTCTACAAAAAGTAGTATAACACATTAGGCCTTCTATGATAGCTGTACACATGATAGACCTCTCTTGAAATAGGCAAAAGTAAACTGTAAAGCCAATCCAGGAAATGTTGATAAGTGATAGTAGGATTACACATAGTAGAAAAGTAAATGTTGAAAATATAGACATCAAAATATTTTAATTCGATATATATATATATATATATATATATATATATATATATGTATGTATATAAAATTGTATATAATATTGTATTACTACTTAGTTTCCTGCTAAGTACTATTACCATTTATCTGTAAAAAAAAAAGTTAATTATTGCAAATATTCTATGTAAGATTATGAATAAATAGCCTTTTTGTGGCTAAAAATATAATACAAATTTAAAAAGATATCAACATTAATAAGTATGAAAATTACGGTACGATACAGTAATATCTGATTTTACAAAAAAAAATGTATTTGTATGTGTCTTACCAATTCCAATAAGGTGAATATTTTGAAGAAATAGGTGTTCTGATTTATTTGTTTTACTCAGTATAAGATGAGAAAATTATAACAAACATACTGTATATATTATTATTTTGCAAAAATCAAATCGGACAAAATACATCTGTTTTAATTTTAATGCTATTCAAAACTTCAGGGAAAAGAGGGGGCTGATAGGCCTAAAACAACGTTAAGCCTGATACGTAGTTTCATTTTCTATACATCTATGGTATTAGTTGTTTTGTTTTCGGCTACTGAATTTACCGTTATTTAACTTCCGTTTTGCCTGCAGCATTTCCCCTTCGTTTTGCATATCAATACTAGGCCTATTTATTTATATCATTTTTTGTAAGGTATTATTCATTCAATGTTTGAAATCTGTCCTTTTAGTAATGTAAGCTTATTATAAATAAATAATATATAGGCCTATATATATATATATATATATAGGCAACGATCGACCAGAGTGCCACTGGTCACAACCTATCACCCTAGGTTACCACCACTAAGGGCTATAATTCAGAAACATATGCCCATCCTACAGACCACAGAACGTCTTAGGTCTGTTTTTCCGGATACACCGTTCATAGCCTATCGCAGACCACCTAACCTTCGTGATATATTAGTACGATCTAAATTCAAG